CGAGTTACTGGCCGCCGCATGCCAGGCCCAGATTTCAAATCGACCGAGCTTTCGGCCAGCGCCCACCCGCACACGATCCCCCCATCCCCCGCGACGGTGCGGCGTTTGTGCTCTTGACTTGGGCTCATCGGGATCTCGACTTCTTCCCGGGGACTGGCTTCTCGTCTTGAGCGCCCAGGCATCAGACAAGATGTTCTCTTCAATCTTGGGCCCCAGATGTCCGGACCCCTTCCCCGGAGGTCGTTTTGCGTCCCAGGTCAACGTTTCCTTGCGCTGGGGCCCACGGACACCGAGCGGCCGAGGTTGAGGAAAAGCGCGCCCGCACCGAAAAGACCACATCGCTCGAGATCTGCGCCCCCGCCTCCGATCTCCGGAGTCCCGAGGATCACACGAGCTCAGGGCAGAGCGTTGCTATCGGGAGTGGACAGACCTCCTACCCTGACACGTCGATTAAGGAATTGGCAGTTTTCGGCTCGCGAGAGGGCGTCGCGGCCGTCATTTTTGCGGGTCCAGGTCCGTCGGTTTCGGTCCCAGGCCGTTTTCACTAAGGGGAGGTTTACTAAAGGGAGGTTTGTCCACCGCCGATGCTACCCGGGCTCGTGAGCTGCTTCTGGACGGGGATTGGATCAATCCGTTCCAGAGCGTTCCCGGGACGCTCTGAGCAGGCTGCGGCGCCCGAGACATCTTCAAGAGCCGCCAGATCTGAGAGGTTCCCGACGTTATATCCTCGACCGATGCTGCCCTCGTCCTGACGTCGTGTCATGCTCCCTGACACCCCTGCCCCGCCGAGGAGCGCGGCCGCGGAGGAGCGGGCACAGGCCCGGAGACCCTCCCCGTTCCCGGCCCCGGCGGGGGGGAGCGGAGCCGGACAGCGGAGGGGTCGGCTGCGCCTCCACCTCCTCATCACCATCGACAGCAGCATCATTCTCAGCATCCTCATCATCAGTATCAGCACCATCGTCATCCCCCTCCTCGTCATACTCATCGTTGCCAACGACATCATCACCATCATCACCATCAGCAGCATCATCAGCAGCATCATCATGTTCATCATTTCATCCTCATCTTCATCATCGTCACCATCACTATCACCACCTACCACAACCACAACAGCATCCTCATCGTAACCATCGACAGCAGTTTCATGATCATCACCATAATATCATCATCATCATCAGCAGCATCATCATCAGCATCATCTTCATCACAGTCAAGTCCCTGAGATAATGATTGCGTTAGGTTCAAGAGGGGCTCGGGTTTCTGGACGCTCCTTAGATTGGTGTTGTGGAACCTGTTTGCGGTCTAGGTCCGCCATGGGCAGATAATCCCTTTCGTTCCTGATTATGCATTCCTTACACTAGCACGACGATATTAGTAGTAGTAAGGATGAGCGATTTCCAAGGTTCCCCTTGCATTTTATCCGTCGGCCCATCCTTGGCCACTTCTGTTGACCGCGCCCCGCTCAACAAATGTCGGCATGGTTTTCCAAGGCTCTTTGCATCCTTATCGTGACGTTGTCATCGTCACCATCATCACCGTCACAGTCAGCCTCACCCTCGTTGCGCAGCTGCCGAGAGGGGAGGCCCTGGTCCCCCCCCCGCCCCTGCGTGAGAGCGGCCATTCGCCAGAGGAGCACCTGGCGAGCGGCTCTGGGCCCGAAGCTCGGACGCTGTAGAGGCAGGTGTTGTGTAGACTCCAGCCAGGTTGTTTGTATGGACCGGGGCGCGGCTTGGAGCCGTCCCGGGTGTCTGAGGTGGCCCAGCACTGGTTCCAGCCAGCAGCGAAGGGCGGGCGGGTTCGAGGTTCTGGGTTGGTCCGAAGCGTTTGTTTTATTTTGTTCGGCCTCCGGGTGCCGTGAAACACGGATCCAGAGCGAAACGTTGCGCCAGTCCAGGGACCGATCTTGAGCGGATGTGGTTTCATCCTTGTCTTCCTGACTGTTTTGCCAGGGTCCCAGCCAGTTCAGACCCCCAGCCGCCTCCAACCAGCGAGTTTGCTTGCATGGAAGGGGCGCGGCGAGGCCCGGAAGGAAGTCTGCACTGCCTTTCGGCCCAGCGCTGTTTGAAAAGGCGGCGGAGGGGGGGGATGCCGTGCCAGTGAATGAGCCCGAGTCTCAAGAACAACGGCCGTCTGAATCAAGCAACCCTGCCGCAACTGCAACATCGCACGAAATGATCGGCTGGCCGCGCACCGAAGGTCACTCTCGCCCAGGGTCTGTCTTCTGTGCAGCTCAGGAGGGTCGTGGGCAGGAGGGAGGAATCTCTGTCCCTGGCAACCTTGCAGAAGGTTCGTTTTGCGCCTGTGTGTGCGTGTGTGGCGTATGGTTACTCAGTGTTTATATGTGTATATATATATATATGTGTGTGTGTGCACATTTCTATATGTATACATATATATATAGATATTGTATCAGAGTGATGGGGCCGAGCGGTCATTGTCCCTGGGTGTGTGGCTGAAGTGTGTTCCCTCTGTTCGGTTTCTGTTTGCTGTTTGTTGTTCTTCGTTGATTCGTATTGTTGGACCCCTACATGCGCTTCGGCGCTATCGCCTCGGCGCCGGCTGCATTTCCTTTGAAATTGAGGCCTCACGCTCAAGCGTTTCGGGGGTGCGCCCAAGTTTGCCCCCAAACAACAACAGCAACAACGACAACGGCAACGGCAACGACAACGACAACAACACCAACATCAACAACAACAACAACAACGCTTCCATGCGATAACTACGCCCTCACAAATGACTCCGAGTTGCCCTTGCTAGAGAGTGCCCGAACCTCAGGAAGGTCGCTCTCGCCTGAGACTTCTTCGCAAGTTGCCGCCACAGGGGGGTCCTTCAGAGCAGTCTTGCTGCTACTTGCGGATGCCCGATCGGCTGTTTCTCTTGAGACTTCCATGCCCTTTAGCACCACAAAGGAGTCCTCATTACCCGCATCCCCTGCTCACGGACTGGGAGCGAAAACAAAAGCAAATGTTGCCTCGAGCGGAACAAGAATCGACACGTGAAAAGAAATTGCATATTGCGGTTCTCCGGCGAGTGATTGTGACCATTTGGCCGATTGATAGTTCGCCTGCTGCAGTGATCTCAGGCGCCAGTTGAAGTAGTCGGCGCCATTCGGTTGTCGAGCTATTATAAGAAGAATAGCATTGCTGTTTGGGTCTCCATGCCAGCGCGCGCATCCTTCCAGTTTCCGCGCCCGCGGAGCGGTCGCCAGGAGAAGCGCTCACGAGAATGCATTCAGGTCGAGTTGCCGCGGCGGGCCGTCGTCGGGGGTCGCTTCCCATGGATTCTGCCACAGGGGACGTCTTGTCGTGCCACCATATGCGTTCTTTTTGGTGCCACTTTTCGTGTTGTTTTTTCGTTTCACATGTTTTAAGGTTTTCCCTGAACGGCTTATTCTTGTAATGGCTTCACTTCTTGGGGAAGAGAAGCAATTTAAGCATTCTGGTACACGGCTATTTGAGAACCGAGCGAGGTAAAGTTGGACAACTTTTCTTCCACAGATGTGTGTGGCGCTGCGATTTTGAAAAGTAGTTCGCCTTGAGTGGCCATGCGATCCTGCTAGAAGGTCTCGCGAGCAGGCGCCGATGTAGCGCTTGCGCCGCACATTGTTTAACTAATATTTGTGTTTGTTGGGTGATACTTCGTGCAGGGAGATGAGGTTGCGAGGGTCCTTCGGAACCAGGTTGCTGCTACAAGCGGATGCTGGAACGGTCTTTTCTGCTTGAGACTTCTTTGCGATTTACCACCGCAGGGGGATTCTTCGAAGCATTCTTGCTGCCGGTACGGCCGTTTCGCTTGAGACATCCTTGCGATGCAGCAGCACAGGAGGATCTGTCAGACTAGATTTGCCGCTACTTGCGGGGGCCCGAGGACGCTCCAGAGGTTTATATTCGGGGGGCGCTGTTCGGCCCTCCAGCTCCCAGGGGGCCCCTGGAGGCATTTTCTGAATTGGGATATGTGTTCGGGTAGCGCTTTTCGGCCGTTCCGCTCCCAGGAGACCTCAGGAGTATTTAGATACGTGTGCGGGGAGCGCTTTTCGGCCCCCCAGCCCCGAGGAGGCCCCACGAGGCCCCAGGAGGCTCTTTTCTGTAGTGGGATTTGTGTTTGGGGAGTGTTTTTGTTCGGCGCCCCGTAGGCTTCGCCCTCATAGGATTTGCCATCGTTGGCTTCGCCGCCCTTTTCCTGGGGATCGAATTCCTTGTGTTTTATTTTTGTTTCGATGAAGTTTCCATCTCCTGGGGCTCGAATCCCTTTTCCCGAACATCTTGTGATGTTGGCTCCTCGTTTTGAACAAGCGCCCCGCGTCCCACCTCTCCTTCTCCTCCTCCTCCTCCCCTTCCTCTCCTCCTCCCCCTCCATCCTCCATCCTGCTCTCATTCGTGCTGACTCCATCCTCCATCCTGCTCCATTTCGGCACACTCCTCACGCGCTTCGTGGCCCCATAGGGAGCTCCACCGAAGGCCCCAGTGGCAGGGTTCGCATGCGTCCCCCCGCCCATTACGGCACACCCCTCATGCGCGCGGTTCGTGGCCCCATAGGGAGCTCCACCGAAGGCCCCAGTGGCACAGTTGACATGAGTCCCCGCCATCCATTTCGGTACGCCTCACACGCATCGGGGCCCCATAGAGAGAGCTCCACCGAAGGCCCCAGTGGTACAGTTCATATGCGTCCCCGCTACCCACCCATTACGGCACACCCCTCACGCGGTTCGTGGCCCCACAGGGAGCTCCACCGAAGGCCCCAGTGGCACAGTTTACATGCTTCCCCGGCACCCATGTCGGCACACCCCTCACACGGTTCGTGGCCAAAATAGAGGGCTCCACCGAAGGTCCCAGCGGCACAGTTTACATGCGTCCCCGCCACCTATTTCGGCACACCCACCCCTCGCACGCTGCGTGGCCCCATGGGGAGTTCCACCGACGGCCATGGGACTCGAATTTTTAGTGTTTCGAATCATCACCGGTCCCAAAGCCGCACTGATTTGATGCGCTCGTGCGAGCTGAAAATATGAAAGTGCCCCGGGAAAGGTGGTGGCTCGACGTCCTTGGTCGGGAGATCTGGGCGTACGTAGGAATATCGGCCCTCATGTAGCTCCCCCAGCACGGTGGCATCATGATGGATGCACATGTCATGTAGAACCTTGGCGCATGAGGGTAACATGTTTGTTGCTGTTTGTGTTTGTTGCATTTTCGTTTTCGAAGAATGATTACTGCTGATACCCCCTTGTGCACATTGTGCTTTTCAAGTGCAATATCCCCCCTCGGGGCTCGTACCCTGTTTTTTCCGTCAGGGACAGTATCTCCGTTCAAACTGCGTTGTTGCCCCTTGGCTACAACAAAAACAGTAATTTTAAGGCGAGTCGTTCCTATCTGCTCGCGTGCCACTCAAGACGTGTATCCCAAACACTCGAAGCCCGCCTTCTTCGTCTCCGATCGTGCAACCTCCAAGGCGGGGGAACAAAAGACGGATGGAAGGACAGGGCAGGGGGAAGGGAGGAGGATGGAACACAGGAGAGAGTAGGAGGAGGGGGGCTAGGAGCAGAGAAGGTTACGGGCACATCGGGCGGTTTGGCTCTAACGGGCAGATCGGGCGGGAAGGCGGGAACAGGCGGCCAGGTCGAGCAGGCGGCTTGCTGAAGCGTGCGTCTTGCATGACTCGCGAGGAAGTCTCGAGCGACAGTGCGATTCTCAATCCAATCCTGAGACAGGCCACAGCGTGAGAGTGATTCCTGGGTGTCGAGGGCGCGGTGTCTGAATATATTGCAAGGAAATCCCACTTGAGACCGCGATTCCGGCATATGGTCTTGTGAGGAGGTCCCGCGCGAGAGCGCAATTTTGGAAAACATCATGAGGAAGCATCAGACAGGAGCCGTTGTTGTTGTTGTAGTTCGGGGGCCAGGCGCCGAATTCTGAGACCCAAGATTTCCCACGATAAACAGCAGGGTGCGAGCCCTGGAAAGGGAATTTCAACTAAAAACGCAGTGTGCCCCGGGAGGGGGGGATCAATAATGATTCTTATTCCGTAGTGAGAGTTCAACAATCAGTTGTTTGTTCTTACGTGTTCGCGTGCCGTTCACAGTATTCCTAGTTCGCGCGCGCGGGGCGGCCCCTGGGGGTCCCCGGACGAAAAGTACCCCGGCAAGGTCCCGGCAAGTCCCCGGCAAGTCCCCGGCAAGGTCCCGGCAACGTCGGGCCAGAGATGCCGGAGTTCTGTTTCGGAGTCCAAGAGGGCTCCAGATCGGTCCAAGAGGGCCCCGAGAAGCTTTCTAGACGGTCCAAGAGAGGCCCGAGACGGCCAAAGATCGCCCGAAGACGCCCCAGATGGCCCCAAGACAGCCCAAGAGGCCTCCAAGACGCTCCAAGGGCCTTCCAAGAGGCCTCCGAAGAGGGCCCCAAGTTGCCAAAATCGTTGATTTTCATTGTTTTTTCTATGTTTTTTTGCGTTCTGGCCTTTTCGCTTCCGGACGCTCCAAGAGGGCCCAAGAGGCCTTCAAGACTGCTCCAAGACGGCCCACGAGGCTCCCAAGACGGCCCCGGAGCGGCCCAAGAGCGCCCCCCAGACGGCCCAAGTGCTGCCCAAGGCGGACCAAGAGGCCCCAAGACGGGCCCAAGAGGGGCTCAAGAAGGGAACCGAGAACTGAAAAATCGAGCCCTCCGCCCCAGAAGGCGCCCAGGACCCCGAAAGAGGCCCCAAGAGACTCTCCAAGACACCCCCAAGACGCCCCAATAAGCTCCCGTGAGGCCCCAAGAGGACCAACAACGTCAGGCCCCAGGCCCCAAGAGGACCAACAAATACCGCCAAGAGCCCGCCGAAAGCCCCCCAAGAGACCGTCACGAGAGCTCAGGAGGCCCCCTGGAGGCCTCCCGAGTTCTCCAAGAGGCCTAAAAAGAGGCGCCAAGAGGCCCCAAACGGCCCCACCGAGGCTCCAAGAGGCCACGAACGCGCAAGCAAACGCCTGCGATGGCACAATACGGGCCGGCGGAATGAGCGAAGCGATTAAATGATTCTGTAGTGAGAGTTCAACAATCAGTTGTTTGTTCATACGTTTTCGCGTGCCGGTCAAGACGTATATCCCAAACCCTCGGTACCCGCCCACTTCGTCTTTAATAGTACCCCTTTTCTGGGGCCATCTATTCCTGACCTGCCGCGCGTTGGCGCAGCCCTTGAAATAGGGGAAGAGAGGACGAATGGAAGGGGGGGAGAAAGGGATGGAGCACGGGATTAGCAGCAGGGGGGCCAGGAGCAAAAAACACGTGGCAGAACCAGACGGGTCCATCGGGCTGGTAGACCCTAGCGGGCGGGTCGGGAAGGCGGGCCCAGGCGGCCAGGTCGAGCAGGCGGGTTGCTCAAGCGTGCGTCCTGCATGAATCGCGAGATAGTCGCAGACTATAGCGCGATTCCCAAATACGTGGCGAGAAAAGCCAAAGCGACAACGTGATTCCTGAGTGTCGAGGGCGCGGCGTCTGAATACATTACGCGGAAATGCCACGCGAGACCACGATTCCGGCATACATTGTGAGGTTGTTTTGTGCGAGACCGCGATGTTGGAATACATTGTGAGGAGGTATCAGGCGGGAGCCGCTGATGATGTAAACCCAGGACCACCGACAGATTTCGGTGACACCAAGGTTTCCTTGATAAGAGAGGACGCGTGCGAGCCCCAAGGGGGACGCTTCAATTGGAAAAACGAATTAGTTACCAGAGGATGGGGGTCAACGATCTTGATTGCTTGGGATCAACAACGGCTCCTGCCGGATATTTCCTCACAAGTTATTCCCAAATCGCGGTCTCGCGCGGGACGTCCTCACAATGTATGCAGGGATCGCACTCTTGCGCAGGAATTCCTCGCAATGTATTTAGACGCCGCGCCCTCGACATTCAGGAATCACACTGCCGCTGGTTTGTCCCCCGATGTATTGGGAATCTCGCTTTCGCACGATGACCTTGCCGCCTGGGCCCGCCTTCCCGACCCGCCCGCTATGGTCTGGCCGGCTGGTTCTGCCACGTGCTTTCTGTTCTTTGCTCCCTTCCTGTTAATTTGCTCTCGTGCTCCATCATTCCCCCCTCCGTTTTCATCCGTCCTCTCTTCCGCTGTTTTAGGGTCTGCGATAAATGCACGTGGCAGGTAAGCAAGGGGGTACGATCGATCACAAAGAGGGCGGGTACCAGGGTTTGGGGATATACGTGCTGAATGGCACGCGAGAAATTAGGAGCGAACAGTCCTAAAATCATGAGTGTTGTTGTTGCTGTTGTTGAATGTCAGTTATTAAACAATTATCATTCTTGAGCCCCCCCCAGGCGCTTTGGCGCTCTCGCCTCGGCGCCGGCTACATTTTCATTTTAAATGAGGCTCACGCTCGAGCGGTTTGGGGGGGCGCCAAAACCAGCCCCGAACAATAACAACGCTCCCGCTCGAGACTTCCCTTTTTTTTCTACTCAAGGCGGTGCTCCCCCTCGCCGCCGAAAACCGCCGTCCCGACAAAACCAGCGCTCCCGCCCGAGACTTCCTTCCGTTTTACGCTAGACTGGCGCCCTATTCTTTTTTGAGTTGGCGCCGCTCCCAGCAAGAACAACGCTCCCGCTCAAGGTATCCTTTTATTTTCCCCAGGACGGTGCTGTTCCTCGCCGCCGGCAGCAAAACCACGGCTCCCGCTCGACATTTCTTCCCTTCTTACTCAAGGCGGTGTTCCTCCTCATCGCCGATCACCGCCGTCCCAACAGAACCAGCGTTCCCGCTCGAGACTTCGTTTTGTTTTACGCTGGACTAGCGCCCTACTCTCTTCAGCATTGGCGCCGCTCCCAGCAGCAACAGCGGCCCTGCTCGAGACTTCCTCTCTTTCTATTCAGGGCCAGGTCCTTGCCTCGCCGCCGACAGCCACCATCCCCACCAAGGCAATCCTGTCGCTCGATACTTTATTGTGCTTTACCCTTGGCTGGGGCTCCACTGGCAGTCTCGCATCGGCGCAGCAAGGCGCGGGCATGCGTTTTCGAGGCGGGATATGTTGAAATTCCTCGGAGGAGGTGTTTGCAAGACCTCATGTGGCGGGAGATCTGGGAATGGGAATAACGGACCCCGCTATAGAACAATAATCCCCCATGATGGGGACGGTTATCATGATGGTCGCATGCTTCGTGTGGAAACATTGCGCATGAGGGTAAACTTATTGTTTTTGTTGTTGGTGTTGTTGCTGCTGTTGTTGCTGTTGATGTTGCTGGTGTTGTGGTTGTTGTGGCTGTGATTGGTGGTGGTGCTGTTATTGTTGTTGTTGCTGGTATTGGTGTTGGTGTTGTTATTGTTGTTGTCGTCGTTGTTGTTGTTGTTGGTGTTGTTGTTGTTGTTGTTGTGGTTGTTGTTGTTAGTGTTGTTAGTGTTAGTGTTAATGTTAATGTTAGTGCTAGTGTTAGTGTTGTTGTTGTTGTCGTCGTTGTTGCTGTTGTTGTTAGTGTTAGTCTTAGTGTTAGTGGTAGTGTCAATGTTAGTGTTAGTGTTAGTGTTGCTGTTGTTATTACCGCCGCCCTCGCCCGCGACCCGCCCGCGATTCACTCGTGACCCACCCCGCGACCCACGGCACGACCACCCGCGACCCACCCCGCGACCCACCCTACGACCCACCCGCGACCCACCCCGCGTTCGCCCCCTCCTTCTTATCCGCAACTGCACGGTGCGACATATCTGCTTGCCGACATCCATAGTTCCGCAATCGGAGATCCTGCGCCCCCCCTAAACGGGACCCCCCGAATGACTGGCCCCGGGGGCCCCTTGGACGCCCCTCCAGAAGGAGTAAGAGGAGGCTGGGGAGGAGGAGGAGGGACACGGACAAGCAGTGCGTCGGTTGCTCGTGGAGTGACCAGGCGCGCATCGGTGGACGAGCAGGAGGCGGATCAGGACAAGGGGCGGGAGGGAGATTGGGGGGAGGAAAAGCCGGGCGCAGGCACGGAGTACGACTGCTTCCACGGAAAGATTGTCGTGATCGACATCGCGACCGACGTGGAGATCAAGAAGGCCCGCCGCCTCCAGGGAGACTCAGGACCGCTCAATTCGCATAAACACATTGTATCCCTGAAAGCTTCGACAAACAACGCAAGGCCACACTCAACTAAGCGGAGCGAAACGAGATGGGCGAGGCGCCACCATGGGGACGCAGCAGCCACTAGGAACTTCGGTGGAGCTCTCCGTGTGGCCACGAAACGTGTGAGGGGTGTGCCGACATGGGGCGGGACCGCATGCGACTGCAGCCGTTGGGTGGTTCGGTGAAGCATTTTGTGGGGCCACGAAACGTGTAAGGGGTGTGCCGAAATGGAGTGGGGCACCATGTGAACCCAGACGTGGGGAATGTCAGTGGAGCCCCCTATTGGGCCACGAAGCGTGTGAGGCATGTGCCTAAATTGGGCGGGTGATTATGGGAACGCAGCCACGGGGGCCTTGGGGAGGGCTCCCTGTGGGGCCACGAAACATGTGAGTGGTGCGCCAAAGTGGGGCGGGACACCATGCGAACCCAGCAACAGGGGACAGGGGCCTTGAGTGCAGCTCCCTGCGGGGCCACGGAATGCTAGAGGAGTGTGCCGAAATGGGGTGGGACACCATGAGAACCAAGCCATTGACGCTTTCGGTGCAGATCCCTGCGAGGCCACGAAAAGTGTGAGAGGTGTGCCGACATGGGTTTGAGTGGCCATGCGGACGGAGCCACTGGAGACTTCGGTGGAGTTTTCCATGAGGCAGCGAAGCCTGTGAGGTGTGTGCCGACATGAACCCGAGACGGCATTCGCACGGCGCCATTGCAGCCCCTGGTGGAGTTCTCTGTGGGGCAGCGAAACAGGTGAGGGGTGCACCGAAATGGACCCGAGATCGCATGCGGACTGAGCCACTGGAGCCTTCGGTTGAGCTCCGTATGTAGCAGCAGCGAAACTTGTGAGGAGTGTGCCGACATGGACCAGAGACGGTATGCGGACGGAGCCGCGAGAGATTATTTGAGACGTGTGAGGCGTGTGCCGACATGGACCCGAGACGGCATGCGGACGGAGCCATTGATGCTTTTGTAGAAGCCCTTTGCGGGGCAGCGAAACGTGTGAGAGGGGGCCGAAATGAACCCGAGACGGCATGCGGACAAAGCCGTTGGAGCCTTCGGTGGAGCTCCTTAAGGGGCAGCGGAGCGTGACAGGGGTGTGTCGAGTTGACCCGATACGTCACGGGGACGGTGCCACTGCAGCTTCTGGTGGAGCATGTTGTGGGGCAGCGAGACGTGTGAGGGTCGTGCCGAAATGGACCCGAGACGGCATGCGGACGCAGCCACTTGAGTTTGCGGTGGGGCTCCATAAGGATCAGCGAAACATGCGAGGGGCGTGCGGAAATGCACCCTAGACGGCATGCGGACGGAACCAGCGGAGCCTGCAGTGGAAACCCCTTATGGGGCAGCGGAACGTGTGAGGGGTGTGCCCGAATTGGCCCGAGACGACATGCCGACAGAGCAATTGGAGCGTTCGGTGGAGCTCCTTCTGGGGCCACGAGACGTGTGAGGGGTGTACCAAATCGGACCCGAGACTTCTTGCGGGCGGAGACTTTGGAGATTTCGGTGGAGCTCCCTCTGGGGCAGCGAAACGCGTGAGCGGTGCGCGCGAACTGGAGTTGCGGAACGGGCAGCGAGGGGAGGAGGCTGCGAAGAGTAGAGGAGGACGAGAAGGACGAGGAGGAGATGAGTAGGAGGAGGAAGGGGACGGCGTGGAGGGAGGGGGGGGGGACAGGACGCAACACACAGGAGGGTCAGGAAAGAGGACTCAGGGTGGAAACCCGGCCCCAGGGAATGGGTCGAGGCCGTCAGGGGTCCCACGTTGTGACAACCATTGAACGTCGGTAGTCTGGGTCGTGTTCACCATCAGGAAATCGATAACAGGGTTGTCAAACGCCTCGTTCGTTCAGCCGGCGAAGATTCGCAAGCTGATTTGGTCAGATACAAGGTTCGTTGCCGTCAGCATCTTTGTGGTGAATGTTGACCGGAGTTTCGTGTGTCGAAAGGCCCCCTACATCGCGAGCGAGTCCACGCTCCTTCGCTCCCACGCGTTCCTCACGTTCTTCCGCTCGAGCGTCCTCCACCTCCTCCTCCTCCTCCTCCTCCTCCTCCTCTTCCTCTTCCTGCCATTCCTCCTCCTTCTCTCCTCATAAAGTTTGACCTGTCTCGCATTGTATGTGACCAGACACGTCAGAATCCAGAGTCCGACCTCACCAACCTGGTCTGAGATAGGCCCGGAAGCTTATCCGCAGCAGCGGTCGTTCGCTGGTTCGTTTCTCGCGGTCGCCCTGATCCCCTCCGTCCCTGGAGGAGGGGGAGGAAGAGGAGGGGGAGGAGGAGGAGGAGGAGGAGGAGGAGGAGGAGGAGGAGGAGCAGGAGGAGGAGCAGGAGGAGGAGCAGGAGCAGGAGGGAGGAGGAGGGAGGCGGAGGATGGGGGAGCAGGAGGGGGAGCAGGAGGAGGAGGAGGAGGAGGAGGGAGGAGGAGGGAGGCGGAGGATGGGGGAGGAGGGGGGAGGATGAGGAGGGGAAGGAGGAGGCGGAGGAGGAAGTGGCGGAGGCGGCGGAGGAGGAGAAGGTCAGCAGGGTATGCGGGCGGGGTCGTGCGCGATATTGCAGTGATGCCCCGTGCCCGCTCGCCGCTTCTGCCGGATGGTGCCAGCCGGGGAGAGGCGGCCAGGGGCCGGCGGGCACGGACCCGCAAGCAGGCGTTTCCCCTTCGGGGCGCTGGCCCGCCGACCCCGACTGCGTTGGCCCACAGGCCCGTGGCGCTCGCGGTGGGGCGGTCGGCCCGGAGGGGTCCTTCACCATATGAGCAGTCTCATGAGCAGTCCGCTCGTCGGCTCCTTCGTAAGCTTGCCCTCCTCCATCCTCCTCCATCCTCCTCCTCTTCCTCCTCTTCCTCCTCCTCTTCCTCCTCCTCCTCCTCCTCAACCCCGGAGGAGTTTCAGGGGAGGGCCGATGTCTCATTCAGCCCATCTCAGTACCGATATCACCATCGATCTCACTACACCGCCGTGACAATAGTTTGGCCCATTTATCTTGCCACGGCGAATGAAGGCGAGAGCGACACAAGACCTTTCGATGGCCTCCCCCCTTCCCCGTAGACCCCTACGCCAAGACAACAAAGCGCAGCGGTGGCGCATCTGGGGTGGAAGAAAACAAGTCTTCCACTGATACTAATCGTAGCACTCCGCAGTTGCGGATAAGAGTGAGGGGGCGGCGGGTATGTCGGCAGTCTGCGAGGCTCTGAGGAAGCCCGCCGCAGGCGCATAATTTTTCTAGCTATAAAACGAGCCCTCCGCAGGCGCCGATTTGTTTGTTAAACCAATGTGGGTAGGTCACAGTCTGGGTCGCAGGTGGGTCGCGGGTGGGTCGCGGGTGGGTCGCGGGTGGGTCGCGGGTGGGTCGCGGATGGGTCTCGGGTGGGTCGCGGGGTGGGTCGCGGGTGGGTCGCGGGTGGGTCGCCGGGTGGGTCGCGGGTCGGTCGCGCGGTGGGTCGCGGGTGGGACAACCCCACAAACAACAAACAACAACCTCGACGACGACGACAACGACAACAACAGCAATAACAACAACATCAACAACAGCAACAACAACGCAACAAGCAGAATCTCCACGGATTCTCATTTTAGCCACGCACCCGGGGACAATTAATGACCGGTCGGCCCCCTCACTCTGATTAGTAGTAATTTTTTCAGGGGATTAATTCTTCAGTTTGTCTTTTGACGCATGGAAAATCATTCCGCGCTGGCGCGAGGGAACTCCACTGGGAAAGGCAAATGGGCCTAAACGTTCGCCCCGCCGGAAGATGGTTCTCATTTTGGATATCACAATCGATCTCACGATCGATCTCGCTATCGGTCTCACTATCGATCTCACTCGATCGATCTCATCGATCGCAGAATCGGTTCCACAACCGATCTCACGATCGATATCGCTATGAATGCCATAGTGGATATCGCAATCGATTTCACGATCGATCTCACAATCGATCTCACGATCGATCTCGCGATCGGTCTCACGATGGATCTCACGATTGAACTCGCTAAAAATTTTGACCACGGATCTCACAATCGACCTCACGATCGATCTCACAACCGATCTCACCATCGATCCCACTTTCGATCTCACCTGGGCACCGACGGGCCACCCAGGGGACACCGACTGGACACCCACGGGCCATCCGCGGGACAACCCTGGCGTTCGCAGGACAACCTCGGGGGTTTAGCCCGGTGGCGCCGCCAAAGCAGCTTCGCCTCGCCCGCACGCGCGACACGAAAGCGAAGCAGAGACCGATTTCTCGGGGGCGGCTCTCCTTTTCACTGAGATCTTCCCCCCTCAGTTCCAATCCACTGCGTCTTGGATTGTGTGGGAATGTGTTCCAGACTGCCAAGGCGCAGTGGATATGTATGAGTATCTAGCCTATTGGGCCCAGATTCTTATTCATATCCACTGAGCCTTAGGTTTCTCTGGAAACTGGAACCCACAACTCCAAGACGCAGGGGATATGACAATACATCTTGCCCCCCTCCTCCTTCTCCTCCTCCTTCACCTCCTCCCCCCAACACTCTCTTCATCTCTCGTTACTTCCTTGTCCCTCATCCTGCTTCGGCTCGTCTTCCCCCTCATTCCCTCCATCGTCCTCCTCTGTTTCGCGATTCCTTCCGCTCTTCCTGCCCCTCCTCCTCCTGTACGCGCCGCTCTCTACGCTGGGCTCCTCCTCTTTCTCGAGCCGGCCTTCGTACGAGCGGATTGCCCCGCTCCCCTTTCTCTTCCGAGTGCTGGTGCGAGAGCGTTCGTGGAACGAGGGCCCTGCCCGCGCTGGAGCGGAAAGAAAAGGGACAACCAATGGGACCCACGGAGGTCGCAGGATCGAACGATCGAGTGCAATATTTCCTGCTCTTCCTCCTCCTACTCCTCCTGCTTCTCCTGTCCTCATCGTTTTTTTTCTCATCTTCCTGCTCCTACTACTATTCCGCCTCCTCTCCTCCTTCTTCTC